GCCCTGGGTCACTGACCATGATCCTAATTGTATGGAAGGAAATGCTCTTCTAATGGTTAACACACCTTGATGGCAACACTGGTTTTGGCTTAGGCCATTGCTAGGCATGATTGAATGTCAAGATGCACAGAACATTGCTAAATTAGTTAGGTTAATTAATTAATTAGTGGTTAGGCTTCTTATAGCATTTTAACCAAACATGACTACAATTTTTATCATCATTATTTTTCTAGATTGGATAGGAGAGGAACTAGGAAGACAGGATGGTAATGGAGCTAGTAGGGACGAGTGCTGCTGCTTTTGACTGACACAGTAATGCCAAGTAGGAAACTCTTCAAAAGCAGAATGAAAGGCATGAAAAGCAGAGTGGTTTTTCTGTCTCAGGACCCAGGTGTTACCCGGCATTCTGTCTGCACAAAATCCTGTTTCCTTGTTGCTGTTTACTTTGTTACAAGCTCAGTGTGTCTTACTGGTATTAAATACTGATTTTAAAATTCCAAATCCTCAGTTATCTGTGCTACTGGGAACAGGCAGGTCATCTGTTGTCCCCTTGAATGGGAGAGAAGTACTTCTTTGAGCTGAAGCATATACAATGTAAATGTTCTTGTGTGTATTAAAATGTCTTCTGTGCAGAGAAAGCTATTGACCCTTCTTTGTCAGCTCTATGTGTGTGTGTGTGTGTGTGTGTGTGTGTAATTTTAGAGTTGGGGGCCAAAGTCTTTTGTTCCTACCTCCATTTCCTGTTGTGGGAACTATCTTTTGTCAGAAACAAGCTGGTGTTAGAGATGACTTCCTGTAACTATACGATACACTATACCATTCCATGCGTATAAAAACTAAAACCCTAACCTCTGCACCATTCACAACTCAGACAACACAGGCCCGAATTCCAGACTCTGCCTGTCACTGTGACCTAAGGTCCAAGGGCAGATCATTCACTTCCTTTTTCAGCACTCTGCTTTACTTCTCCTTGACATTGTTCTCCTAATCTCATTTTGTACATCAAAACCAGCTGGGTTATGTTCCAAGGCCTATGGAAACTTGATCCGGGACAAGAAACAGGCAGTTCAGAACTTTTGCAGCTTGTGTCTTAGAGAATAGAGGAATGTTTCAGCTTCCTCTCAGTCCCCACAATAGCTCAGCAGCCAGTAGACCAGCTGGATGCCTGGCTTGTCCTGAAGTAAGCAAGCAGTTGTAAATCTCTGGAGCTCTGTAGTACTGCATGCTGAGAGCTCTGTTGTCTGGATTATGTTAAATGTCCTCACCACAGCCATGTGAGGAAAGGTCAGGATCTAGAACTCTTTAGATTCTCAAGAGTCAGCCTTACGTATGTGATCTCATTTTTGGAGGTCGCTGTGGTCTTTTTATCCTATCTCTTGTTCATGGTTGGTGTCTCCTTTGTTATGGTTTGGCTATAAGAGAGATGACTAGAGGAAGTTATTCCCGTTCAGTGTTCTCATTCCCCAGCTGGTCAGATATGACTCAACCACTTGATACTTCCAGCTTGCACCGGTGTCAAAATTAGTCACTCTTCGTCTTTAGGTAAAGGAGCTCTGGTGGCATAGCAGATTAGCCATTTAGCTGCAACCAGGTCAGAAGTTCAAAACCACCAGCTGCTCTGCAGAGGGAGGATGGCGAGATCTACTTTCATAAAGATTTACAGCTTTGGAAACCCAATGGGGATCTTTATGAGTTGGAATCAACTCCATGGCAGTGAGTTTGGTGGGCTACTGCTCATTATCATTTTCTTCTAAACTTTTTGTGTAAGCTCTGGTGACTCAGTGCCTAAGGCATTTGACTGCTAACCAGAAGGTTGGCAGTTCAAATCCACCAGCAGCTCTATGGAAGATGGGCAATCTACTTCTGTAAAGATTTACTGCCTTGGAAACCCAATGGTGGTTGCTATGAGTCAGAATCCACTTGATGGCAGTGGGTTTATATTTAGGTAACTTTTTTTTTTTTTTTTAATTTCTAATGTTTTAGAACCCTGCTTCCTGAGTTCATTTAAGGCACTGCCCATTCCCTTTAGGATATTTCACTAAACC